GATGTACACAACGGATTCAAAATAGGCAACTGACATCGCATTGCTAATATCCAGTGAATAATGGAAAACGAAAGAGAGTTTCAAAAATATGCCTGTTTTATTTAGGATTTTTCTTTCTGTAGATTCTATTCTAACCGTGCTTCCTGATCATCTTTAATAGGCAATTGAGGTGGCTGAATTTACCATGTTGTTAAGAGTATCCACAAGAGCACTTGTGCACTTGGTAAATTGCCTATTAAAGTTGATCAGGAAACACGGTTAAGATAGAATACAGGTAGTGCTCAGGTTATGATGCAATTGGAACTGGAATTTCTGTCACTTCTGATAAGTGATGCAATCCTAAAGTGTGATGACACATGGCCACATTGCTTATCAACAGCAATCTCGGCAGTCCCTGTTGCCATTGTTAAGTGAGGATTGTAGATGATTAAGCAAGCACCTCACATGGCCACAACATGGGAAGCGATACCAAAACTGCTCCAAGTATGCAGGCTGTTGGCCAAAGCTGTGAGTTGGTAGGCAAGAGCTACAGGTGAGTGCTACAGAGTGCGGGCAAGTGGGCACTGTGAGTGGATAATGCAGAGCACAAGATCCCAATGCCACCCAGCAGTTCCTTGGAAGAAAAAGCAGTGGGAATGGGAATGACTTGCAACCTCTTGCCCGCTTCCCCATTGACTCTGCTTGTGGGGAGCTGGCAGGGAAGGCCAGAAATGGTGATCAGGTGACCAAAGAACACTGCAGTTGTTGTAATTACGAGAGAGTTGTCAAGGGTCCAAATTGTGATTGTGGGAACACTGCGATGGCCACAACTTCTAGGACTGATTGTAAGTCCCTCCTCATTTAGCATTGTCATAAAGACTATGATAAATCTGGAAAAATATTGAAGTGCAAAGACATCCTGACTTCAAAAGTATGTTCTGTCAGGGCTACAGCGTTAACATACAGCTGTGAAAGTGGGATCATCAGAAAGCCTGAATAAAGGTAAATTGAGGACTATGCATTGTGGAGAAGATAAGGTAACTGACAGCTGCAAGAAGAAGAAAAATCATCCAATCCTAGATGAACAAGTTAGATTGCAGAACAAAAACACTAATAATGAGGCTAAAACTTACATACTTTGAAAACATAATGTAAATGCAAGAGTATTTGGATAAGATCCATTTGCTCGGAAAAATCAGAGCCTTTGAAGAAGCTGACAGCAGATAAAGTGGCCAGATGTTATCACTGATGACACAAGCATGATCATACAAAAGTTTGAAGAGCTGAAGTTATACAATGACTGAATAACAAAAGGCAACTTGTATCAGCCAATTGTTTTGTGCTACAAATACCTTAGTCAATAGTTAGGTACTCTGGAAATTGCAGTCCAAAACAACTGGAATAAATAAATTGCCTATCTCTCATCAAAGATATATTTACTCAACAGAGTTTTACATTGTGCTGGAGATACCTTTAACTAGCAGCAATTAAAGCCAAAAACAAATATTTGTGTTTTCTATTCTTTCTCTTCAATGCAGTCACTGAAGCTATTTGCTCAGATGCAAATTACCCCCAAAACAGTCATTTTTAACAAGCTTCGAAAAAGGAGGAGAGTGAGATGTGCTATGAAAAATAAATCTAAGCTTTCTTTTCCTCATAGCATTGTCCTGGTTTTAGTGGAGAGCTGGGGAAGTTTGTGATATTACTGCTACTATTTTAAATAATGGGTATATCACCCAGCATGCAAATGGACTTTCCTCAGAATCCTTTACTCTGATTTTAGTTTGTACACAGAATGAGGAAATTTATACAAACAGTGATTGGGCGATACAAATTTATAAAACCATATAAATATAATAAGGATAACAAAGATATATATATGGGGATCTGGAGTTTGTATGATTTATGTATAAGAATGAGATTGTATTCTAGGGATAAAAAACTATTTAGTTGGAAGTACTGTACTATTGTATCTGTATTTGTATCTTTTGGATATTTTTCTTGCCATCAAAAAGGTCCTGTATTATTTAAATTATTTCTAGCATATATATGTCTTGTATACATTTCAAAAACTTGTTTACTGGGATACATTTTCTCTCTCCTTTGCCTAACCTGTCTATATTATAATAAGTTTTACTACATCAAGAGCAGACATTCAAGTTCATTTTAATGTTGCTTTGTAATTATTTATTTTGATTAACAAATGAAGTCTTATTTTGGTCCACCTAAAAGCAGGAAAACAGTGGTAATAACCTGGAAGCAGTGTAACACTGCTTTATGGGGGGGGGGGGGTTGCAAGTAAAATAATCTTGGAATCTGTAGTGTGTAAATTTAAATGCAACAGAGAATTACCTATTCTGTTTTCTTCCTCTTTGCTTCAGAAGTTTGCAAAGATGAGCAGTTGCCTAAAAGGCAGGAGAGAATGGGATACATTGAAGATTCTCCCTTATCTTTTTTCTCATTACAGTTCATTTCATAAGCTGATTTTTAGAATAATTAAAAGAGTCTTTGTGGGATACAGGTGGCAATATACAGTTAAGAATAATATATAATACCTAAGCTGTGGCAGCTCTGGAATCCATGGTGATCTTATATACTTAACAGAATAACAGTATTCTTTTGCTTAAGCAAAAGAAATATTCATGCTATACTTTAGATAAGATCTACTTTTCCCTTTCACATGCACGGTCCTTCATTGAGGTAATTTCTCTGCAGACAAAAAGGAGCAAAGTAACATGCAAATCAGACTTGTATCTAAAGACTGTAAAATATAACAGACTTCACCTTATACCTTGCACTTCCTTAAATTATTAAATGACAGCATGGAAGTGGTCAAAAGATTCAGGCCATGTTTTTCCTAAATTCTTTTCTTTTAAAAAGGCAGCTAGTCCTAATCTGGCCTGCAAAATCATCTAAATGTGAGAAATAGTTTAGTAATTGGAACATAAGCCAGCATTGTAGAAAGCCACTTTATCAATCTGACTGCTCTTTAAGGATCAAGCTAAACTGGATTAACTGTTCTGATTTTATGAAAAATGAATTGGATTTTATCTGTCAGTCTCACTTTCATTTGTATTTCCTCCAGTTCTTATTTATTTTAATCCTGCCTTTATTATTTTTATAAATAACTCAAGGTGGTGAACTTATCTAATACTCCTTCCTTCTATTTTCCCCATAACCTCTACCCTGAGTGAGCTGGGCTCTGAGAGAATGACTGGCCCAAAGTCACCAAGTTGGGTTTCATGGATAAAGCAGAACTAGAACTCATAGTCTCCCAGTTTTTAGCCTGATGCCTTAATCACTAGCCCAAACAGGCTCCCTTTAGATTTTTCCAAAAACATCTCTTGCTTTCTGCAGAAAGTTCAATCTGAATTTTTGTCTTTAAAAAGTAAAAACCATCCCTTTCAATTTATCTCATCTAATAGGAATGTTCTGTTTAGAAAAATAATCTTTTCACTTACATAGTATTCTTACTGGAATTTTCTTAAGTACTCTTTCATTTGTATTATCAATCCTCAATATAGTATTAAAATATTGCTATAAAACATGATTTAATTTAATTTAATTAATTAAATTTATATGCTGCCCCTCTCCGAAGACTCAGGGCGGCTCTCATCTAAGACCATGATCTCTGGTCTTATTCCTGGCAGAATGCATAAGGATGTCCCATGAAACAATTCATGATTTTGCAAACTTATATTAATCTTACAAACCTTATCAGTCTCTGTGTTAATGTTATCTTCCTCCCAATTCAGGAAATTGGGAGGAAATGCCAGATGGATTTAACAATATTTTTTCTAATATCTTCTCCATGGTCTTCTGGAATTGCTCTAAATCTTAAATAAAGTTATTTTTCTCTCAGTTCTCTCCAATAATGCCAAATCCTTTTCCATTTCTTTGTAACTTATGCCTTACTTTCTAAAACTTCCACTTTATCAATAATTTAATTCTCCAGGCATTTCCCCAAAGATTCTTCAATCTTAACTTCTTTTGCATTTTTTTATTCCTGCAAATTCTTCTTCCTTTTTTTAAAGCATCCAAACCATTCACAACCATTATAATAATCTTCTTGCCAATTTCCTCAAAACATTTTCTGCAATAAATCTGGTGAAATGTCCTCATCTGTAAATTGTTCTAGTGAACCTTCCCCATCTTTCTCTTAAATTGACAGCTTTTCTTGTAGTTGCCTTTATGAGAAAGTCTATTTTTGTAAAAGTAAAGGGCAGGTTTCTTCCCCCCCCCTCCATTTTGCTTTTCTCTGTCTTTAGTACTTTAGTCTTAATTAGCTCTCCATAGTTACAATTGCAATTTTGCTCATATTATTTTCTTTGGTAAAATCTACCAGTCACCTACTGTCACTAAGTTACCTATTTGCACCAGAGACAAATTCCTTGTGTGTCTAATCACACTTGGCCAATAAAGTTATTCTATTCTGTTCTGTTCTGTTCTGTTCTGTTCTGTTCCGTTCCGTTCCGTTCCGTTCCGTTCCGCTCCGCTCCGCTCCACTCCACTCCACTGACCTTAATCATCATTCTCACAAATGTCTGGTCTATTATTCTAATTTTGCTACTTTGAAGGCCCTTTCATTGGAATTTTTTTTAAAAAAATAAAAACCTGTCCCCTTTATCCATTTAAAAGTTTCTTGGATCAAAATGTTAAGTTTTTTACATTTAAATTAAAGCCTTTCAAGGTAGCATTTTTTTTCTCTGCCTAATTTTAGAAAGAAGTTGCTTGCTTTGATTTTCACTGCTGTTTGGAGTATCTGTCTTTAGTTGTGAATGTGTTAAATCCAAAGATATTTAAGAAAGTGAGGCTTTGGCCAGTCAAAAATGTCTGGCAAATGTCCAAATACCGTAGTTCAGTCTTCCTGTATAATTGACAGGCATACTGTTTTTCTTATTTTTTTTTTATTTTATTTTTTTGAGGAGGATAAAATCATTGTGGTAGGAAAAATATGGACGGCCCAACTTCTTATAGATAAAATCAAGCATAATATTAACATGTGTTTTCTTTCTTACTAGGTTGGCCTCCGGCAACTGGATATGTCATTACTGTGTCAACTCTACTCTCTTTATGAGTCAATTCAGGAATATAAAGGTGCCTGCCAAGCAGTATCAAGTGCAGACTGTGCATATGCACTGGAAAATGGCTTTTTTGATGAGGAAGAGGAATTTTTTTAAAAAGAATATTTCTTAGGAAAGCCTTTTTTTTTTTTTGGAGTGCAGCTGGAGTTGGCAGTTAAGAGATGAGCAGTGTTTAATTGGAACTCAATGTACATTCTTCCTTCTGCTCAAGAAGAATTGCTCCATTTATTTCTGGCATGCTGTTTAACCCAGGTTACACCATTATGTAAATCCTGCTCTCGGAAAGAAATGTGCAATGAATTTTGAAGCCTCCCAAAGCATGCTTGACAGGTCACGTCAGTGTAATTTGTGCACGGGGTGTTTCTAGATGGCAGATGTTGAAAGCTATCTTTTTATAAGCAGAAGCGTGTCACTGTACATGAAATCCACTTCATCTCAAATATTCTGACATGTAAAGTATATAGTTTGTGTGTTTGTAATCACTGAATAGATCCCATAAACAACACCTTTTTAAAGCCTCTTATCTGAGGGATTGGAGTTTTTCCTGTTCTATACCCCATAAAGGATGAATTCTGTAATTCAGGGGTCTCCAACTTTGGCAACTTTAAGACTTGTGGACTTCAAGTCCCAGAATTCCTCAGCCAGCGAAGCTGAAATCCACAAATCTTAAAGTTGCCAAGGTTGGAGACTCCTGGAACTTTAAACTACTTCCAAAGTTTTTACTTGGGTTGATGATCCAATTCCCTTTCTTTCTTCCTAATGTCAGAATGACTTTTTTTTAAACCAATGTAATAAAATTGTGTAAGCCTATTTTTTTTTCTCAAATGCAATAAGAACAAATCAAAGCAGTTCATTCTACACCTTGCAGCTCCATTAGCTTCCATAACTTTAATTTAGTTGTTCATTATCCAGTTAGTAATTTAAGTTTAACATACATGGATTTGCAGCATCATTTGTAATACTAAAATGTTCGGAAGACAAATGGTCAATTTGTTTCTTATGGTCCAAAAAGATCTTAATATGTATGTTGTTATATACAGTTTTTTTTTGGGGGGGGGTTGTACTATAACAAATGAACATTTAAACTGGAACTGTAATTTGTTTAGCTTTTTCATGGACATGTAATTTAGCACTTGGTGGACTAAAGTGAATTCAGAAATCCACAGCTACCTCACAGGATGACGTTTATAGGAACCCCAAGCAGAAGATGGAAACCTCTGAACTGGTCTTGTGCATAATGGTCAGAACCTGATTGGTTTCAGCTTCCTGGAATACTTCCATAAATTATATATGCATCAGAAAAGTCTTTTGCCATGTAGGAATATGACACCATGTAAATAACTGATTTGTTTTCAGGTGGAAGACCTATTTTAAGATCTGAAACATATTTTCAACCTCGAAGAAGAAAAGTAAGATGACAAATAACAAATCTTCAAGCATGTTAACTTTGTGTCCAAAGGGAACAACAAAATGTGTAAAAAGGACAATCGCATCCATACACTTATTGTAGCCACTTCTATAATATATTGTGTTGTTGTACTGTACAATACGTCCATCCGTTTATGTGATCCTGCCAGGTTTGTTACCAAATACTTCTGTTCTCCTGCGCAGTGAAATCTCTGCTTTCAAAATCTAAGGAATCCAACTGAGCACACCCACACACAGACAAAAAGAATTGGCCTATTGGGGAAATGGATGGCATATAAATATAATATATAAATAAAGAATAATAGCCTAGCAAGCAACCCAAACTCTTTTTGGAACTTTTTGGTTGTTTTTTTTTTTTACTAGCCTTATTTTTTGTGCTGATTGACTCCATCAATAAAACCAGAGAAATTGGAGACTAGATCCTTGTTGCTGAAATCAATTATTTAGCATATGATGGCTAAAATAAATGATACATTGGTTCTCTCGATTAACTATGGGTTGGCTTCCACTAAAATCATTGGGACAAAACATATCCAATTTAGGCTGAAACCAATCAATGTAATAAGGATTCAAATAAACATCTGTTATCCTCCAGAGACTGATGAACTGCAATCCTTATCATGCTCAGTATTGAGAATGTTGGACAGGCTGTGTATCTATCTTGGCAAATATGTTCTATACTCGTGGCCTTGATTCATAACATGTAAAGACTGATAAGAGTTCAGAGACTCCTCATTTAGGACCCTTTGTTACCAATAAAATACTGTAGTTCTTGATCTATAAGACGACAGTTAGAAAAAGAAGTTTCCACACCAATGCTTTGGGATACATTGGTTTAAGAGGGAGAATAGTTCATTGACAGAATTCTTGTAACCCTGTTTCCGTTTATCCGGTAACTCTTGTTAAAAAAACAAGAGACTTGCACATGGGGAAAAAAAATCACTTTTGATTTTGGCAGATGCCAAGAGTCTGATATAAAGCTGTTTTTAAGGAGCAATTATGCCAGTTACACTGACTTAAAAAAGCTGATATCTTCATTTATTAGAATGGTTATCCCCAAACTAACCACTCTCTGGATACATATTCTAGAAAGTTTAGTCAGTATAGTCAAAGGCCTGGGAATTCTGGGAACTTGTTTCAGCAAATAACTGGTGAAGCCAGAGTGGGAAGATAGTGTCAGAATAACACACAAAATGCATCATGTTGTTTTAGGAGTTGCTCAGCCCTTATATAAAAGATGTGCACAAATGAGGCTTAAGAGAAGAATGGCAATGCAGTAATTCTTCAGGAGCTGCTTGTTCTCTCACAACTAAAGGGGGATGTAAAGTGAAGAGGATACCTTAAAAATTACTGATACGTATTCTAAAAGTGTAGTCTCAAATGCTGAACCTTGTTTATTGTCTTTGTTCAAGAAGCTGATATTAGGCTGCATTGCAAATAATCCTCAATTTACGATCACAACTGAGCCCAAAATTTCCATTGCTAAAAGACAAAATGTTGCCTCATTTTACAACCTTTCTTGCCACAGTTAAGTAAATCACTGCAGTTATTAAGTTAGTAACATGGTTGTTAAATGATCTGGCTTTGTCACTCTGCTTGTCAGAAGGTCACAAAAGGTGATCTGAGGACCATCAAAAACACATGCCAGTTGCCAAGCATGCAAAATTTGATCCCATAACCACGGGGTTGCTGCAGCGTTTGGGTGAAAAATGTTATAAATCACTTTTTTCACTGCCATTGTAACTCTGAATGGTCACTAAATGAATGGTGGTAAATTGAGGACTACCTGGATTAGTTACAGTCCAATAGGCTGTTTAAAATCTGAAGTGTCATTGCAAGAAATGGTAACATCAGAACCTACGGTAATTTGCGTAAGGATTTTAAAATGACAGACTGCAATAGTCTTACAGTCTAACGGGGAAAACTACAATTGCTGAACGTATTTCTTTTGTTGTATGTTTTTTTTAACAATATTATTGTAGGAAATTAAAATGACAGGAAATCCGTATCCTATTCTTTGAACTTTGCGGAAAGTTCACTGTACATCTGAAAGAATTCTTGAAAAGTTGTATTAGCCCTTCCTGTGTCCGACACAAAAGCACCTACAACTTCCTGACTGTATGAAATCCAAAAAGGAAATGAACTATAGTTTAACCTTGATATTCAGACAGCTGATTTAAAATAACCGACTACAGAACAATTCCCAGTCCAATGGGCTGTATGCACTATTTCAAATTTATGTTATATGATTACTTATTTCCTGCTCTCCCAACTTTTAAAGAAATGACAGTGCAAAATGCACATATCTGAAACAATGGATAGTCTAATTCAACTTTCACAAAAACAAGAAAGATCAAATTTAGATAAAATTCTCTATATTCATACTTGAACGGAAGGGCTTGCTTAGGGAAGGGCAATTTTGTAGGCCTTCCAGCAGGAGGGCTCTGATGTATGAGTTGTCCTCCTTTATGTGCTATGAACCAGTAGGATAATAGGACCTGAATCCTTTCTGTCTGCTTTGGAACTCACAACAGGAAGAATATGACTGCCTAAATCAAGTGTGGTAGTGATCTTTGTGATGGGCTGATCTCTTCTGGCCCGTCTTGTGGAAGGAGGAATTCGGGGGAAGTGCTCTTTTCAATCTGAGTCCATTATTTCTCTCATTTGGAGGTGTGTGAGCATGGCTGTCACCACAATACCTAACTGGTTGAGATCAATCAACTGTTTTTGAATTTTCAAATATGTTTTTTCTTTCTGAATAAAGAATGCAATGGATATTCTGTAGGCAATTCTCAATCCACTGGACTCAGAACTAGCAAGTACAATACGTTATTTACACAGGTACACAGATTTCAATGATAGAATATAACAGATATTTAACTGATCACATGGTCCAGCCTGTATAGTGTTGTAGTTAAAATGGTAATCTAGGACCAGAAGGACACACATTCTTTTGATAGTGGATCTTTTGGTAAAAGCATCTAGAATAATCTGTTTAATTTGGCCTTTTACATTACTGTACTATACTCATCAGGCCAAAAAAAATATTGTCAAGTACTTTGTCATGTCCTAAAGTGCTGTTGGAAGCAAATTCTCACTGTTCCTTCCTGTTTTGCCAGCAACAGTAAAACTAAACATCCTACTGCCTGCAATGAGAGAAAAAAACATTTAAACCAACGGCACTACAGTAGAGCCAACAAATCCACAGGTCTCCCCAACACAATCACATTCTCTTTGGGGGATTTCCAAAGTTGGAGATTCTATTCCCAGAAAATGATGGCCCTGAGTAGGAAGGAAGAGAGGGAATCCCCATTCTAATCCATCCTCTGTGTTAATCTTGCCAAAACTGATTAATATAGTAAACTGTTATCTATTCAATTTTCAACGCATGAATTCAATAAATATACATATTGAAACCTTTATCCCAATCAGATTTTAGGCCACGCTACATATACTCAGCAGAATCTTGGACCAGCTAGTGCCTTATTTGTTGCCAAATAGAGAAAGAGTAGTTTTTCCTCTTAATGACCTATCGGCTTATCTATAAAATGTAAATTCTGCTGCTAGGAACACATTCCTATGAAGCTACTCAAAGTTCAGATTGCTCAACATGTTGTCTGGTATTATTTCTACAGACATCTGGCATTCTTTTCCAATTCAAAAAAGAAAAAGAGAATAGAATAGAATATCAGGAAAGCCAAGGAAATGGCTTCCTGCTGTGAAATATCCCTTAGTTGTCCAAAAAAATATATCTCAGCATCTTATGTTAGTATTTTAAAATTTAGTCCAGATTTCTTTGGGATGAGCTATATTTAATTTTCTTTTTGTCCTCCTTACCATATTTGAATAGTACAAAGGAATACAAATATGATTTAAATCTACATGTGTGGGTTTTGTTTTTTTTTTTGCATTTTCTAATATAAAAGCAGAAAACAGTACAGAGAAACAGTACATGGAATTTCATTCCATTGTAATCACTTTTCTGATAAACTGAGAGTTTGTATCATTTCTTCCTCCTCTACTCTCCACAATTACTTAGTCTGAAATCTTCTATATTTTCCTTAGGGTAACCCCATTAAGAAAGACAGTTTGATGTAATGGTTAAGGCATAAGGCTAGATAGTGGAGAACTGTGAATGTTAGTTCCATCTTGGTTATGAAGCCAGCTGAGTAACCTTGGGTCAGACACTCACTCTCAGCTCCAGGAAGGAAGCAATGGTAAACTACTTCTAAAATCCTACTATGAAAACTGTAGGGACTTATTTAGGCAGTCACCAGCAGTTACAATTACTCAAAGGCACCAAACTACAACAACAACAACAAAACCCAGCAACCATTAAATACAGGGTTGGTTTTTTTAAAAAAATAATAATATAGGTTTGTATTGTGGACATCAACAGCAATATAGGAAACTATAGGAAACAACTGTAGGCTATCCCAAAGAGGAAGCATATTTTGGGCCTGTTGGCCTGTGGATAAGAGCAATAGCACTTAGATATATATACTGCTCCATAGTGCTTTACAATACTCTCTGAACAGTTTACAAATGTCAGCATATTGCTCCCAACACTCTTGTGTTTTCATTTTATCTACCTTGGAAGATGAAATGGTGAGTCAACCTTGAGCCGGTTAAGATCAGACTCCTGGCTGTGGGAGGAGTTAGCCTGCAATACTGAATTTTAAAAACCACACCACCATGGCACCACAGATAAAGCACTAAGATAGACATTTCACTGATTTAATTATGTATCAACATCTAGAAAATGCAGAAGCTTTGCCTCTTTATCTCTGACTGTTCTAACTTTGACTTAGGATTTTACCTCTTTATTCCTTTGTTTCTGCAGAGCGCTGAGAAGTAAGAGTAACATAAAAATCCCTTATGTTAAGCTCAAGGCAATGAAATCTTGAATAGACAGGGTGAAAAAGGCTGAGGCAGAAAAGATTATATAGCATGCCATTCCTGTACAGGTTATATACTTTGATCCTTTAATCATTAGAATTCATTGATTTGGTAAAACCAACTGTCAATTCTCAAAATAACTCCTGCCTCCTGTATAGTAGATTAGCTACCCTGTTTCTCTGAAAATAAGACATCTCCTGATAATAAGCCCAATCAGGCTTTTGAGTGCATGTGCTAAAATAAGCCCCCCCCCGAAAATAAGCCCATCCCGAAAATATTTAAACGCATGCACAGCTGGTCCCCGCCATTTCCTCTGGTTAGGGTTAGGGAGACAGAGCTGAAAATCAGGTAAGACAGCAAGAGGAGTCCCGTCTTGCTCCACCCGCTCCAAAATAATAAGACCTCCCCAAAAATAAGGCCAAGCGCTTATTTCAGGGTTCAAAATAATATAAGACAGGGTCAGAAAAAATGAAAGTTTAGTACTGTATTTATCTAATATCTAGATTTGACCTGGTTTTCTGAAACTTTAAAAAACTTGTTTTAACAATTAACTTTTAAAATATAATTATAGGTAGTCCTCAACTTACAATAGTTCATTTAGTGCTCTTTCAAAGTTACGACGACACTGAAAAAAGTGACTTATGAGTTTTTCTCACTTAACAAGCAGTACAGCACCCTCCCCAGGTCACGTGATCAAAAGTCAGTTACTTGGCACCTGACTCATATTTATGACAGCTGCTGTGTCCTAGGGTCTTGTAAGCACCTTTTGTGACCTTCTGAAAAGCAAAGTCAATAGGGATACCAGTTTCACTTAACAACTGTGGCAAGAAAAGTCATAAAATGAGGCAAGACTGACTTAACAAATGTTTCATTTAGCCACAGAAATTTTGGCTCGCTTGTGGTCATATGTCGAGGACTACCTGTAACCATAATACTCCTCCTTCTGTCACTACTCAAACCAATTCCAGAGCAGGATATATGGGGGCTCCTTCCTCCCTGTTCTTCATTCCTTCCTTCCCCCTTCCCCTCCCTTTTCAGCAGGCAGGTAAATGGCTGCTTCTGGATGGGGCATGGACCTAGGGATTGCAAGACTGGGAACTGTCACAGAACTTTGAAAATGAAGGTTACAGGACTGTAATAGCAGCCCAGCAGTGTAGCATGATACTGAAACAGACATAGGTTCACTAAATGTCATTCCCTTGGGAGTCATGGGTCCTGGATTTTGGACACATTCTGTAAGTTAGCCCATTTGAGGTATCTTGGTTCAAAAACTGTTGACCTGTGATGCACCATTTTCATCCAGAAAATGTCACGACAATGAGAGTTTTGGTAGTATATGGATAAACTTTGTTCCTTTCTTTATTTCCAATAAAGTCTTGTCACTTTCTTGATAAGAATAGTATTGATTAAATTTGAACTGTTAATCTACTAATAGTTTTGCACATCCAAAACTTGCTTAACTTTAAAATAATTAAAATCAGACAATATTGGCTCTTATTATCCTGTATTAGCCTAAATTGATTCCAGTTTCAAATTAGAATTAAACATTCATATACATTAGAATTTTTTTCTCAGTGATAGTCACATAATTTATTTCCACGGGAGCCATTTCAAGAGAGATAATGTAAAACTATTTCTTAAATCACTTTAGTGCAGATTCAGTTCATGTTCAGTAACCTGTGAAGCTCAGAATAAAATTATTCTTATTGGGGAGTGATTGCAGTTCACTATAATTTTTTCTGAGTAAACATTATAGGATGACATCACCAAGCTTACTTTTAATGAAGCAGTAATAATATCAACTAATATTTGTTCAATCCTTTGCATACTTCTGAACCTGACTGCCTTGAAGCTTACTCCTAAATACATGGATATAATAAATACTGTTTTTTAAAGGGACAGATTGCCTTTAGTCATAAAAAACCCTTTATTTATAAATATGTCTACAAAATTATATTTGTTCCTTGGAGGATGTATAAATATCAATTTAAAAGTATGAGCACTCCACAAATAAAAACATATTTCCAGTGTTTCCAGTAGCACAACTGCCAGAAATGTCAAAGTGAAGCCACTTTATTGTTATTTTATGCGTGGCTGTCAGAACACACCTTTGAGTCAAGCTGGTTTTTTTCTTGTTTTGTCATTTTGCCTCTTTTTAGTATGATAATTTTCTTCTTTGTACTTTATAATAAAACAATCACACCCCTTTTTTCTTTTAAATACAAAGTAATGCAGGAGGAAAAAAACAGAACACAGCTATATAATCTGAAATCAAACATAGCAAAATTGTTATAAAAATTAAATATCAGTGCATCACTCTTAAATTTCTGTGGGTCAATTGGTTGGTTTGGCATAGAAAGTTTCATTTATATTCAGCATTTCTTTACCTTTGGTAAAGAATGATCAAATACTGACCGGTGATGAAGTGAATGATTTGAAAGGCAACATTTTCTACATCTTGAAATATTTTCACTATCATCCTAAGGAAACAAGATTGTCTCAGACATCCCATCCTATTTTCTGGAACAAATAAATGATGCCATTTTCGAAAAGTAATCCATTCAAAATGACCATCAGACACAGTTTGCGGCTAGTATTCAAAGTAACTGCAAAACAAAAGAAAAAGAGAATGTGGTAGCGTTCCCATTAGATTTTCATAACGATAAGAAACAAATTAGTATGGATAAATGTTATTTCTGGTTAATGAGATGGATGACCTTGTTTTGGCTCAGAAGCTAAGCAGGAATGGGCTTCTTTAATATTTGGATGCCAGATTACCAAGGCTATAAATCTGACAGGGATGTTAAAAAACAAATTAGAAGGATTTGAAAGAGATTTCATTTTTGTATTGAATGAAGTTTATAGAGTTGGAAACAACTTTGGGGAAGAAACGCAAAAACAGATTGCAAATTTAAACCCAGTAATTTAATTCATAAATGCTCGGAATTGAAGTTCTAGCCTAGCTTGAGTCTAAGTTTGTAAGTATAAGTTGGGGGCTTCAATTCATGTTTATTTCAGCAGGCTATCTTAGTTAAAGTTAGCTTTTCCTTCTAATCACCTGTAATATTTTTTTTTTAAAAAAAGGCTTCGCAAAGGGAACAATTCCATATCCTTAGGAGGTGATAGTGAGACTTGTACATGCAGAGGAAGCAGTACTGATAAAGGCCAACAGGCAAGGCAGCACATCTGTCACTGAAACTTGTACAATATGGTTAGCCTGTTGTGAGAAGGCAGTTTGTGACTCAGCAAGACATTAGATGAGGAAGCTGAATGCCTTGGAATCTATTACCACTACAGGATTGCTTATTAACCTCCCTTCTTCACCTGGAAAGGAATTATATTAAGCTTTTTTTTAAGGTACAACTTGAAACATGTAATTACCACATAAATGAAAAGATAAAGGAAATCAAATCTGAATTATATAGCTAGTTGACAAATTAATTGTAAAATCATAAGAGTATTGCATGTGTAATAAGCCTTTCTTTGCTGAGCACAATTATTCCTTAGTATCCATATTAGGAAAATGAGTAATTCAATAATATTCAATTCTGGTATTCTTTTCAAATACAGCTATTTAATATTAATAGTGATACTTACGCCCACATCAGTATAATATTGGCATATGTTAAGTAGTTATTACATTTTATTTTAAAAATTTGATATTTGGAAAGGGATCTTCTTATGCTTCTTATGATGAAGATAAAATATGAAAAAGAATTCAAAATTACTGCACCAGATGTGATGCTGTTCAGGTTACTTAAAAACTCAGGCACTATAGAGAATATAGTACTTAAGAACATATTTGAAATTTATTGATATTTCATTGGCAAAGAACTAGAAAAATAAACAAATTCCAGGACAGAAAAGGATATTGTATATGAATAACGCCACTCTTATTTATTTTTCCCAGACAAAATTAACAACAAAATCTAGATACAGAAACTACTTAAACATTTGTTATATATTTAAACCACTGTTTTAATCACAGTTTTTAACTAGAATCAAAGATTGTGTTTGGAATTTTTGTTGTCTTTCACATACTATATCAATTTCTATGTATTTAGGCTTTTAACAAAGAAATGAAATGCCTCTTTCAAGAATTTTGGTTCTCTAATACAATTTCCTTCCCTAAATGTATGTCTATCTGTTTCAAATAGCAGAAACTCGGCTGGAAAATCTGGCCCTGAACAGCATGACTGTAATAGTGAAGTTAAATGAGAAAAATACCTCTAATTGCTTGAAAGTTTGACGTCAACACAAACATTTTAATGAGCTTGAGACACAAATGAGTGTAGTCATGCTCCCAAATAACTGCTGGAATCAGTAGAAGTTTTCCATAGCTGGATAACAGCAATGCTTTCAGAAGAAATATGAAATCTGCCTTGGTTTTCAGGACAGCAGGTTTTACTAACCACAGAGCAGTGAAGATGCCAGTCAAAAAGACAGTTTGTTCTGGGTGGGAGATGGATATAAGTAGAAAAAAATCATTTGGAGAAAGAGGTAATATCGTAAAAAGTTCCTTAAGTAGCTATATAGTATTTTACTACATCTTACACACATGCATTTTTAAATTTTCTTTTGGAAGGCATGCAATTTGATTGGATTAGGCCTAAGAACTTGTAATTTAGATATTGTAGTTTCAAGCCATATAACATGTGAACTGTCCAACCCTAGCTAGTAAAGCTTCAGAATACCATTAGAATTATATATCAGAATCTTTGATTTTTGCAAATTGAAATAATCGTATTTTACACAAATAGAATTTCCAGTTTTGAAGAATCTGAGATAAGTGTTTTTTTTTTTTTTAAAAGTCATGGGATTTAGGATTGAACAGGATTTTGCACTTGGGTCTCCTAGACCCTTTCTAGACACTATCTCCTGGAAAATACTTACATTCACAAACATTGTGCAACATATCTTTACATATGCTTTTTCATGGTATGTTGCAATCTTTCGATTGTCAGATATCTTCCAGCCAAATTCAATGAAAGCAAGAGAAATACTGGCTGCATGAATATATATCACAACACATTTTAAGAATTTTAGTGCACTTGAAGCAACTGTCAATGTTTAAACGCTGCTGTTTAAAAGAACAGAAACAATACTTGCCCACAGCAAATATTTGATCTTACCCAAAGATGCTATTCCAAACATTCGATAGAAATCCCATTCTTTGGCATATCTAATTAAATCATCGGGATCAGTACTTTGACTTGAATCCTGTAACTGCAGCCACCTGAGATAAGCTTCGCAAAGTAAACAAAATATGCAAAGCTTTCCATGAATCTGCAGCAGGAAGGAATATTAATGTCAAATGCAAATACTGTACAATCAAAATATTGATAAACATGGTAGGCTTATCATGTTTTACTAATACAATTAAGAAAGCCTGTACAGGTCATTTGATCTCTTCCATTGAAGAACAGGTAACCAAGCTATGGGACATGCTTTGAAGTCTTGAATGATTTCATACATTAGAAGTGAATGTGATACAGAATTCAGCTCAGACTGGGATCTAGTCCTAGACTCCAACTTAATTCATGGATTTGTACCAGATCCAAAATTTACATATTCAGTCTATATTTCAATTTTATACAGGCTATATAAATCTACATATAAAGCCTATATTTCAGGGCATAACTGATAGTGTTAAACATCATATTGTAAAGTATTAATACATATTAGCTATCAGACAGAAAATGGAAACAAGTACTAAGTTGACTTCCAACTAACCATGGTAAAATCGATCAGGCAGCCCAGGCAGATAAAAAGAATTGGAAAAGTAGAAGCAACAATAATAGATGCCAGAGGCATGGCTGATAGTTGTAGGTTAAAGGATCATCCAAGGCAGGAATCAGGAAGTTCCAGTCAAAACAATTTGCACACTAAGCAACAGCATTGAACTGCAATGTATAGACAGACTTTCAGAAAACATAGATGTTATGAATTCTTTGCATATTATATAGTTATCTAAAGCCATGCTGTTTTATAGTTTATACAGTTGTCCAGTACATCTCCAAAGTGTGCTTTATTTTGACCAATTCCTCGATTAGGACAGAACTACAAACTTTTAAACTTTTAAAAGTTAAATCCAATATTGCAATTTTTAGAATAGGAAGCCACTTAAAAGTCAATATTTCCAGGTCCAAAAACAAGTTACTTTTTTCATTAGCTTGGAGCAAGATTGACAGATTCTATAGCAAATTAAGACAAGAAGCAGAAACAACAGAAACTTACATTTATTTTTGTATTGAACAAGATATGTCTGTACGCTTGTGCTTTGCATAAGATAGCATTAATTAAGATGATGACAGGATCATATTCTATATATTTGTCCACTGGTTTTTGGCAGGATTTCTAAAGGTAACAAAGCAAAAGCAAAGTAATATTTGCAGTAATATTATAGAAAAGAAACACTTATTAAAAGAATTAAGAATTTTTAAAGTTCTGTTATGAATCAAGGGTTATCTAGGATATTATCTTAAGTTTTATACTGTAGTTTTCACAAAATAACATTTCTGTCACAACCACAAAAGGAAGTAATATTTTCAAGCGTAAAGAGAAATGATTTGATGAAATAATCAAAACAATTTAAACAGAGACAAGTAATAGACACATTTTTAGCACAATACAAATATATTTAAATAGCAGGTTGTGATTAGGGGAAAAAAAGAACATAAAAGAAAAAAAATGAAAAAGACGAGGATATTTCGATGTTTTTTCTTACTGGCACATTTTTTCTCTTTTGCTCTTTTAAAAATAATTTTATTATTTTTAACCACTATGTTAAATCTCAGTTTTTGAAATCTCACTCCAATCATCACTCCAGTGTACAGTTAATACACAATACCAGTAAAAATAATTTTTAAAGATAAATAACATAGATGTATGCATTCTATTCTCCCTCCACTTTTTACTTTGTTTTGTTTTTCCTGATGCTTTTTATCTAATTAATGAAAATCAAAATTACATTTAAAAAATTAGCCAGGGTACAGATTTAAATACTTCAGACACACAACAAATGCAAAATATGCATTCATTTATGAAGAACTTTTAACTTGTTTTACTGGTTCCATTATACACTATCCAACATTACACTACATAAATGCATTTGAAACTTAGACAAAGCAAAATGTATGGTTTGTTTACAAGATAATCTAAGGGATCATAAAAACATGATCTGGTCTTTCAACACAGGAAGTACAAATGCATTCCAGACACACACCAGTCATAGATCATTGGGGGGCGGGGGGGGGGGGAGGTTTGCATGCTGCAGCAGTGGAAGAGACAACTTTAACCCTGGGGATTATTATTAAAAGCACAGAAAATCTGATTTTGCCATGATATTGCACAATTATGGTACATACTGTTTCTGATATTTATCTTAAAAATATTATAGAGCTGAAAAAGATCACCTTTTGGTGGTTAAGAGCTACATTTTAATATTTAGGGGAACTTGAAGGCATGCAGAGATCAGGGTGATTATGCAAGATGGATATAGCTAGGCAGCAAAGGTAACATGCTTGTAGCTTTAGAATTTTGCTGTTTGTTACATTTGCTGGAACTATATCATGGCATATTTACTTGATTTTTTTTAGATAGTACTAACATATGCTTTATTCAAGATATGAGACTGTGTTCACCAACTTCCAGAATAAACACACCCAGCTACTTCTAATCCATATAATATATTTGATCAAGGAAAAGGATGGTATCTCCCATTCTGATTGGCACCATTACTACATAAATATACATTTCAACTGTAAGTGAATATTAACTGCTATGTTTGATTTCATTCTTGCTGTAAAACTCCTTTGATAAAATAAAATACAGTGGAGATTTCAACCAAGAACCTCCATTTTAGTTTTTACATAACAAAAATCTGTTTTCTTAGCTTTGAAATAATAAACCTGCTACAGAAGGTTGACATTGGAAAGATACAACCGTCGTTAAAACCTCTTATATTCACTCCTCCTACTGCACAGCTATGGTATCCAGCTCTTCTATTAGTTATACTAGCTGTCTGTTGACATTATTGTGGAAACTACAACTGTGTTTTTTTGAGGTGGGGGGTTTTCTGTTTCATAAGGGGAGTGCATCTTACTTAAATGGTATTTTTCTTTCTCCCCGAAAACCTATTTCAAAAAATGAAGGAGGCTGAAGGATACTGCCTGCGCTGCATTGTCAGAGGGAGAAATAGCAGAAGTAGGAAAGAACAACCCCGTGCCAGGGAATCCCCATTACTTTTGCTCAATTATGGGCCTTTCATTCCCTTGAATTTCAATTCCATGTGACATGGCCCATGACAGGCCTTCTTACTCTTTTGGAGCCTCTGGGCACATTTGGATTTCTGAGAACATGTCACACTCCCTCCTCATGAAACCTAATTTTCAGTCACCTAATTTTCCTCTTCCTTTTTTATGTACTCTATTTTCTCGTTAAGAGTTTGGTATTCAAAAATGAAAATAATACTTGAGCTAAATCAAACCAATGCTGAATACTGTGCAGCGGAATGATTGTTTTTGCGATCTGGAAACCACATTTCTGTCAATGCACCATTAAGTTATATTTGCCCGTTTAGCATGTTGAATGCTGCCTCTAGTTGTAAACAATTCCAGGATAAGTTTCATATATAGTATTACTAGTTCACGTATACAGTAATGCTTAAGTTTGAGAATCATTTTGAATTTTCAATTAAGATCTCAAACCTGTTCTGTTCTCTGGTTACAACTCCTAAAACTAGATAAACAGAAGCCAATCAAACAACTAAGTCAAAAACGTTATGCTGGTTTATTTATGTATTGAGGTAAATGATCCAAAACTTCGTATTTGTGTGTGCCAAAAGTATATGAACTCTGACTTTCAGTAATTGGTGTGCCCTTCTTGGGCAGCAATAACTGCCTCAAAATATTTCCAATAACTGTTTTTTCTCTTTTAAGTTTTTTATTTTATATTTCATATACATATCAATGCGTGAACAGTGTGACACTGTTTCCAATATTTCCAATAACCGTTTATCAATCCTGCACATCAGCTTGGAAAAGATTTAGCCCATTTCTCTTTACAGCTACAAGAGATATTGGTGGGCTTCCTTACATGAATTTCCGCTTCAGGTGCTTCCACATTTCTTTAGGATCAAGGATTAAGATTAATTTAAGACTTTGACTTGGACATTCAAAAACATGAACTTTCTTCTGCTTTAAGCATTTTTTGGTTATACAGCTTGTATGTGTTGGGTCAATGTGTTGCTTCAAGACTTACTTTCCCTTGAGCTTCAGTTCATTGACAGATATACTGATATTTTCTTGTAGAATTTGCTGATATAATTCAAAAGCTGTCTTAGTCCAGGTGCCCCTGCCACCCTCATGCTTTAGATAGGATCCTGGAATATAGTGTTTATCTTTTACCAAACATAAATGCTTTCATTCAAACCAAAAAGGTTCTATTTTGATCTCAATTGTCCACAGAATTTTAGCCTTCTGGCTTATCCACAAAATGTAGATGGGCAGCAATGTTCTTTTTGGAGAGTAATGGCTTTCTCCTTGCAACTCTGCCATGGGCACCACTGTTATTCAGTGTTTTCCAGATGGTTGTGCCATGAACCCTGACAACACTGTACTTTAGACATTACCCTGGTGTTTTTTTAAAGAGTTCCCAGAGTATTATGTGACTTGCTTTTGGTGTGATCTTGGTTGGTCAACCAAGCCTGGATGTTGGATTGTTTCCATTTGTACATAATCTGCATGACAGTGGACTAATGGAATCTAAACTCTTTGAAAATAATTCTGTAACCTTTTCCAGCCTGCTGAGCATCAACAACTGCTTTTCAAAAAGTTCTCGGAAATCTTGTTTTGTTCAAGCACATGCTATCACATAAGTGAGTTGTAAAGATCAGATTTTGATAGCAAATATCCAGAATTCCATTATTTAAATAAGGCACAACTTGCCACACTCACAATTGATTATCATCCCACTGATTGAAATACTTGACTCCAATTTACCCTTCAAATGATAAACCTAGAGGTGCACATACTGTTGCCACAAATAAACTGTAGCTTTGAATCATTTTCCTCAATGAATAAATGGACAAATATAATGTTTTCAACTCTTTTATTTGATTGGTTTCTCTTCATCGAATTCTAGGAATTGTGTGGAGAACAGATCATGTTTTAGAACATACAGCATTTGTGCAGAAATACTGGAAATTCAAAAGGGTTCACAAACTTTTAAGCATTATTATATTGTTACCAAGCAGGTATCCTCCATCATATCTCTGCATTCAATTTTACTGAAACGTAACTTTGCATTTGAATTCAATTAAACACTAAAGACAGCTATAAAAACATCTGCAGTCATAAAAAGCTAGCCGAATTCAAAGTCACTAAATAATTCTGAAGTAGATTGGACTAGAAATAAAGTGATTAAATGGAGAAAACCAGATCGACAGAGTTTGATGAGCATGACAGCAATATCAGAGAGATGAAACATGGAAATGTTTAATCAAATATTGTGTGAAATCTATTAAGAAACATATTGTTTTAATAATATGTTAAATGATTTACACAGTTTTTAAAAGAAGCAATCACACAGCACTTTTGGAAAATAATAAATCATATCCACGTTGGGCTCAGTGCACTTTCTACCATTACAATTTCACTTCCCATAATATATCTTACCAATACATAACAGAACATCTAGGTTTATTTATTTATTTATTTATTATTTATTATTGAATTTCTATACCGCCCTTCTCCCTGAGGACTCAGGGCGGTGTACAGCCAAAATTAAAAAACATGCAGGACAAATATTAAAAAACAATTAAAAGATATATAAATTTGGCCCAATTAAAACTCATTACCAATTAAAACGTTTAAAACATTTAAAAACAATTAAAAATTTCATCTTAAGCCAGCCCGGCTTGCTTGAAAAAATGGGTTTTAAGGGCACGACGGAAGGCACTGAGGTCCTGGATTCTCCTTATCTCTGGGGGGAGCTGATTCCAGAGGGTAGGTGCCCCCACAGAGAAGGCCCTCCCCCTGGGGGTCACCAGCCCACACTGTCTGGCTGATGGCACCCTGAGGAGGCCCTCTCTGTGGGAGCGCACGGGTCGATGGGAGGTCGTCGGTAGCAGCAGGCGGTCTCGAAGATAGCCAGGCCCTATGCCATGGAGCGCTTTGAAGGTGATAACCAACACCTTGAAGCGCACCCGGAAGACCACCGGGAGCCAGTGCAGCTCACGCAGGAGCGGTGTTACATGGGAGCGCCATGCTGCTCCCGTCATTACCCGCGCTGCTGCGTTCTGGATGGCTGGAGCCTCCGCGTGCTCCTCAAGGGGAGCCCCATGTAGAGAGCGTTGC